TGAGCTCTGAGTGAAGTGGTTGTTAAGAATGAGGAGTTATAAAGATTTCAACATACGGTGGCCTGTCCAAATCCAGCTGAGTCATTACCCTGTGTTGCTGCATCTGTTTTTGTCTGGTCACTGTATGGTTATGAATAATTGTATAAATCATGCTGGGACGCCCCAGGGAGCTTTCCTTGCAGAAATGCTCGACACACTGTTCTGATCTGGCTTGTTTTTTGAGCTTCAGGGAGACCACAGGACAAGCCAAGGAACAAATATTTATATGGAAACCAGCTGGGACTGCCTGGCATCCCTTGTGCCAATGCCCTTGTGTCCAGGGTGGGGGCATGATTTAAAAGCATGAGCTTGGAAGTAAAACTGATGCACGTCTGAGCTGGTGGAACTTGTAGTCAGGAGCAAAGGATGTGTCCCACGTGTTTCTTTCCGTGGTTACTGTGCAGATGGGAGATGAATGCCCCGCAGACACCTCTGAGACATGTGCATGCGCGCAGACTCCCACAATTAGCGCTCTCATTTACGTTGGATACATTATAGTGTATTTTTGCCATTATGGTTTAGCAAAGAAGAGCAGATATGATTGTAAACTCTTGCAGCTGGGTGAATTGTGATTAAGTTGAAGCTATCTCACTGTTACATACTACTTTAGTGATCACTGGACTATGTATTTTCCTGCCTCTTACTATAGGCTTTAAACCACAGGACATGAATAAACGGTAATGTTAGGGTAGTAGTCAGCTCCAGTTGCTATTTAAGGACGGAGAAGCTATGTTCAGTCCACTGAATGTAATTTCATAAAGCATGCAGACCATGGTGGAGGTTGTGTAATGGTAGTTGAGTGTGGCTGTGGCTGATGCTCTGGCTGTAGCTTCGTGGCAAACAAGGCCTGCATGGGAGTCATTACGTCTAATTTGGCTGCTTAGGGGTGGCCTTTCAGCAAAAGCAAACCTCCTTTGCCTCTCATTTTTCACTGCTTCCCTGGATCATCTTCTCTTCTGTAGCATTTTATTTCCTGAAGCATTTTTCCTGGTCATGTTTTGCTGCAGCACATCCCCTCTCCTAGAGAAAAGGTGCTGGCTGAGACATTGAAGGCACCTGCTGATGCCTAGGCAGGTTTGCAGGGCTGAGGATGTCTCGATGCCTGCAAGCATCACTGTGCCCATTGCACACCACCATCAGCTTGCATTGGCCACATCGGTACCTTCCCTTCCCCGTGGCTGAGGATGCTGCACTTTCTCCAGATGTTGCTGTAGACTGCACCAACTGTTTCAGATAAAGCCAGGTTAAAAGCCAGGGCTTCACTGGAGTCCTGTGAGTGGTAACCCTGGGTTGTGGTGTGTAGAGGGGCTCTGGTTACATTCATGCTTAGAGGGCTCCAGGGCTGTGCTTGTGTTTCATGTTGCTCCCTCTGCACCCGCTTCCTGGCTGTAATGTGTGGAGGAAGGAGCAGCATGGGGTGGCCACCAGCCACTGCACAGGGACATGCAGCTTGTGAGGCCCGCGTGGCATTTTTCAGAAAGTTCCCATTTTATTATGGCTACAAAGGCTGAGAAATTAAGCTGCTAATTTATAGCGTGCCAAAAAAAAAAAAAAAAAAAAGTAATACAAGAAATGCTCAGTAATTTCAATGTTTGAAAACAAACAACTGAAAAATTCTGGTTCCCCCCTGACCTCCTCCAACCCCCCTCCCCCTGCTAAGCTTATTAAATCTGAAAATGTCCCAGAACTTAATTCTCTCTGCTAGAAAGTTCCTTAGGCCTCTACTGTTTCATGTGAGTAATGAAAGTTATGCTGCTGACATGTATGGTGAGGTCCCTGCTGTTTTGCTCCATGCCTCAGATGCAGAAGTGAGCATCCTGTAGCCACATGGTTGCAGTCCCCTTGGTCCACAAGGGGCTTTTTTGTGTGTCCTTTTTTGGTGGTTGTGTACTGGGGCAATGAGCCCTAACCGGTATGGGACACCCACATTATATTTTCAGCTGATTAACTGCTCTGAGGAACGCTGTTAGCTCTGTCATTTACCAAGTCCTTATTTACAGTGAGCTTATTTATTGCTGAATTCCTTATTTGCAGTGTGAAGATGCATTGCAGGATTTGACAGGCATTGTCTGTCTGTGGCACGTGGCTGCATGAACTGTGGTGCTTCTTGGTCCCCCTTTGACATTTGGGCTTGATGTCCATGCCCAAAAGGTGTGTGGTAACTGGGGGGGCAGCACTGCTGCAGCCTGCGGGAGGGCCGACAAAGCGTCACTGCCAGGAGTGGGGTACAGGTCTCGCGGTGCCATGGCGTGTGAGAAACACCAGGCTCGGCAGCAAGAGCCAGTGCACGACGTGCCTTTGAGCACGGTTTCCCCTAAAAACATTTCATAAACACTGGGGGCTTAGTTTGGAAGAGAGAAATGCAAAGAGTGATAAGGCCTGAGCAGTTGCCGTGTTTGGTTTGTGTGAGGTCTGCTCCGTGCTGCACCCAACTCTGCATTTGCTTTGCTTTTATTTTTGTGGTCATGCAATATTCTGGGAAAGGCCCATAAATATCTAAATAAAATCAAGCTCCTGAAGAGCGAATTGGACATTTTGAGCCAAAGCCTGTTGAAGGCCACAGAAACTCATCCCCTGAGCTTCTCTGAGTTTCGGGGGGATGAGCTGCATTTTACCTCCTAACGCGGGTGTGGAGCCAGGCCGTTCCTGGTTCAGGGTGTGTGGGCACGGCTGGTTTGCTGTTTGCTCTGAGAAGAAACAACAGGTTAATGCTGCAGTTGCCAAAATGCTTATGGTGGTGCTGGGGTGTCCTTGTCCTCAATTGCTCCCTGCTATGGACCTTTGTGGGTCTTTATCACCCAGCCCTGAGCCCCTGCAGGGCTACAGGATGCTTTTGGGGAGGGGAGAAATGCAGCAGGGAGCACCCCCCCCACACCACCACCACCTTTTCTTGCAGTGTCCTTTTGTCTTCTGTTCACAAAAGCACGGCTGTGGAACAGGGCAGACTGCAGCATGCCCAAAGGAGAGGTTTGCCGCGTTGCTTCTGCCCGCGGGGCACGGCGCACACAGACAGCATGGCCAGGAAAACCGAAGTGGTCTCACGTCGAGCCATTTGTTTTTCATTATGCTATGCTACTCTAATATAAACAATAAGGTATGTGGACATTGCCGTGGACAGAGAGCCAGATGCTGAAAGCATTCCTCCAAGGCTGTATAAACTTCAGCAGCTAAATATTTTAGGAACTGTTTTCTAAGGCTAGCCTAATAGTTTAAAAATATAACCTAGATTCCAGATATTAAAAAATGCCTTTAAAGGCACGCATATTGCTGCAATAGTTGGAAACAACTAAACCCCTGAAGTAAGCAGAAGGCTCCCATTTTGCAATATCTTCTGTTACTTATCCTTTTTGTTATTTTTCTTAATACTGAGATTAAATTCAAGAAGGCTTTTAACAGTGTAGTGGTAGTGATAGAAATTTTCAGCATATATTAATGGGCTGACTCACACTTTCAAAGTGAAGCTGGGTTTATGATGAAATAGCTGGGTTCTTTTAGCAATAGCATAATCAGAAAAGTCAGTGGGAAAAGGAAGCCAGTATCTTAAAGATGTCTAATCCTACCATGCACCGTGAAGGGGCAGCATTGAGAGCTCCCACCCGTGTTTGAAAGCAGTCCTGACCCTGTATTCAGTGGAGGTATTCAAATCTTCATCTCAGCAATGTGCAACCTGTCACGATTAGTTAGGACTTGACTTTAAAGCACTGGAAGTGTTTTTCTGCTTGAAAATACCAGAGTTGCTTTGTGTGGATTACAGATTCTGTCACTGCCTAGCAAAGTTAAATCCTACCTTAATCCACTGCTGTTAGAAAGCTCATCTCTACAAGCATCTTCAAAAATACATCAGGAAACGTGAGAGGTTTGGAAGAAAAGCCTGGCTGTGGGGGAGAATGTTTGTAGGTGCTCTCGTCATCACTGTGCTGATTGCCTTAGGCAGGGCTATGCTGGGACGAGGGCTCTTTGCACCTCTGTGGTAGGATTCGTGGCGTATGGAGCTGTCCTGGTTGCCCAAAGTGGTGTCAGTGCCCCTGGAAATGTTGAGGGCATTACTGGGCCGGTACTTCTGGCTGAGATTGAGAGCAGCTCTTTGTTTTATTTTCTCATGTCCACTTCATGCTCTGCCAAAGGACTGAATGACTGGTCTGTCAGACTAAGTCTTCTCTGGACGTGGTGGGCTTGATTTTCTGAGCTGCTCTTTTCTTGCAGATCCCAAAAACTTAGACTAGCATCCTCTGTACTTCAAGAGTAAAGAATGAGATTTTTAGGTTATTTTTGTGGGACACCATACGGATCTGAGAGATCTGTCATTTCTTTTCACACGTGTTACTTCTCAGATAGGTGATAATCCATGACAGCCACGCAGTGTTGTCTTCCAAAAGATTGCCTTATATTGAATTGACAACACAAAGACCCATGGTGGCATAGCAGTAACTAAGCCTGGGGCTGAGTTCAGCTGCTCCGTGTATGTGAGTGGGTGAAGGATGCTTGCTTCTGCTTGCCCTCGACCACTGACTATGGCTCAGCTATACCGTTGCTTCTGTGTCCAACTTCCAGGGGAAAAGAAAAGCTTCATCTTGCCACTAGTTTTTGTTGTGACAGCAGGACTCAATCTGGCTCAACTCTGGAAATGTGTTTGGCTGCTGACCCCTGGGCTTCAGTGGCTAATAGATGTCCTCCAGCTTCTGGTGTGAGGCTAACTGAGGAAAAGCCAATGATCAGAGATACTCAGCGTGGTTTGGTTTCCTTCTGTTTCTTCAACTGAGGTTTTGTGTGTGGTTTTGTCCATGAATGAACCAGAGCTCTTCAGTGCTTTGATAGAAAGCATGCACTGGGGTTCTGGCTCACCATTCTGGCTTCACCCAGTCCTGTCCCCTTTTTGTCACCCAATTTCCCTGCAAGTGACAGATGAAGAGGTAGGGAGGATGGCAGAAGCTGTTAAATGACTGTCACATCCTGTCTTTCAGCTGCTCAAAGGGATGGCTCTGCCCCGCCAAAAAGCCATGAGCAAAACCACGGAGGAGGAGGAGGAGAGCGGAGACTGCGATGATGAAGATGACTGCAGCAGAGGCTCTGGGGATGGAGAGCTGCGAGTGAGGAACCAGCTCCGGTTCTTAGCAGGTGATGGGGATGGTGGTCCTGCGGCGGCTGTCCCTCTGGGGCTTGTCAGTCTGGGTGACAGCATGAGGAGCTGCTCAGCTTTCCACTGCCATGGCCCAGAGGCTGTTTGCACTCAGCATCCTGCTGGCTAGCCTAAGTGCTGCTGAGACAGCAGCTAGAAAAGTGATGCTGTTACTTTCCAGGTGGGTTTTGCAGGGGTGTGTTGAGGGCAGCCTGTCTGTAGGTATCAGTCACCCTCTTCTCTCATTCCCTCTGCTGCCCACACTTGTGAGTTAAAAGGGGAGCTTCTCTGCTTTGGTGGAGGGCTTCAGAAAATCAGTAAAGATGTCTTGACTACAGCAAAACATCTTGGTTGTTTCTTATGTAGGGTTTAGAGACTCAGGGTAATTTAAAAACAAATGGAAAAAAAAAAGCTTCATTTTTCAGAAGTGATTTAGGTACTCAGGAGCCTAAAATTGCATTGACTGTCAGTATGATTCATGTCTTTGGTTGCTTTGAAGATGGCCACAAAGCATCCTGATGCTTCAAGGCTACATTATTTGTAAGGTCAGCCATATTATTAGAAGGTCATTATTAGTAAGATCACCCGGTCACCCACTGGGACGAGGAAGTCAAGGTCCATTTGCTACTTAGGGAGTCGCAAATCTGTTGGTGTGTGCCTTCTCCCTGACCCCCTAACTGCTGCTGTCCTCCTTCTGACTCCGTGGAGCTCAGCAGCACCGTCTGTGCTCACATGAGCAAGACCAGGCTGCTTGAGGCCACGTCCACTGTGGATGTGTGGTGTCTGCTGAACGTGGGTCTGCGGCTGGAGGTTTGGTCCAATTAATGCTGGTTCCAGTGCTGTGCTTTGCTCTTCGAGAGACCAGACAACTGAACCTGGATAAAATCAGCTTTACTGCTTTGAAGTTTAAGAGGCAAATTTGGGCTCTTAAACGAAGCACAGATGTTTATAAATTCCCTTCCATTGGTCTGGGATAATTAAAATATCCTTAATGAAGTGAGAGCTGAAATATTAAATGCCAGTTTCATATCAAAGATTATTGACACATTATGTAAAATATATAAAATACATATATTCAAATATTGGTTAAGGGAAGGAAAAGGCTTTTTAAGTCCTCCAGTCCAGGTCTGAAAGAGAAATATGTAATTTGGAGAAGGATAAAATGTCCTTTCTTTCATCCAAGAACTAAATATCAAAGTGTATGTTAAGGAAATGCAGGTGATCCACATTATTCTGAGTTGAGAGCAGAGATACGTGTTTCATTTTCCATGATCTTTGTGTCACACTTTTATGCTATTTTAACGTGTTTCTAATTTCCTCTTATAGCTTTCCTTATAATATCATCAGTGATCTCTGAAACTGTGTATATAATCCTTTCTGCCTTCTTCTATCTCTCTAGGCTAGTTTAATCACTGTATTGATCTCCCAGATAACCTGCCTGTCTAGCAATTTAGACCCCTCTTGTCACTGTGGTATGTGAACATGTTATATGGAAAGAGGGCTTATCCTCCCTGTGCTACTCTGCTGGAGGGTGTTTGCTGCTGACTTTGCTACGGATTGGGTAAACATTAACTTTACATAGTGAAAAAGCAGCAGTGGCTTGGGGCATTGTCTTCTCATCAGGTTAAGCCTCTCAGGCTGCTAAGAGCACTGGGTTTGACCAGCACAGCTTTTAGGCATTAGCTGGCCTTGGTGGATGTGTGCTGTGCCATCATGGTGGCCACAGAGACTTTCTGGATCTTCCTCAGTTGAGCATGCAATTTTGTGTGTGTGTGTGTGTTTTGTCTTAGAGCAGAAAGGCAAGTTGATCTGACAGTGGCAGAATCATATTTGGTTGGTATTGGATATAAATTGAGACTCTGTTCAAGTTTTATGTTGGAAACAAGCCCAGGAAAAGTTGCTGATGGTGCGGAAATACTCACTTTCAACATTTTAAGAATATTTCTTTTCACTTTGAAAAGGGTATTTTTCAATTAATTTTTTCCATCATATCATAAGTACATAAGAATATAAAAGAGACCAGAAACCATTCCACATTTCCCCCTGTTCCACAAATTCTAAATTTTAGGTTAGCATGCTGATTTGAAATGATGCCAGGCTTTAAAATCTGGAAATACTTTGTGAAACAAACTTTTACATTCAGCATGGCTTTATCTCCCTCTTTCCCAAGGTGGTTACCCTGTAATAGAGACACACAGGACTGGGAGCGGCTGGGAGTGAGCTGCTGATGGTTCCCTGCTTTTATCACATGCTGGATACTATGCAGTGCTCAGGCAGCGAGGCGGCTGGATGGCCAGCAGTGCGTGTGTCCTAGCGTGGTGACCAAACATGCAAACCCTCTTCAAGCATGCTTCCCTGCTGGTCTTCAGGTTTGCTGTTGGGGAATGCATACGGGTGCTTTGTTTTCTTTTTCTTAGAGGTCTGGTTCAGCTCAAGAGGAAATATCCCTGGCCCTGTGATAGCAGCAGAGAACTCCTCCCTCGCTAAGGGTTGACTATGCCTTACAGATGGACTTGGCAGGCAGCTCTGCAGCGTGTGTCATCCTGTTATCCAAGGGTAACAGGGAAAAAATCATGTGGTCCTGTGAAGTGAGGTTGTGGACCGCGTCTGGGCCATGTGCCCCAGGTTCTTGGCCCTGCCTTAAAATCTCATTTGTAATGGGATCACTCTGTAAGATAAAGGCTTTAACGAGGCACATAAACATCATGCTGCCACCGAATCTTTGCAGCAAAGTGGAGTGCAAAAGGATTTGCATCCCACTGACTGTCCCATCAGTGACACGGGGAGCAGGAGAGGTGGGTGACTCCCGCTGAGCGCAGGCAGGCATTGGGTCTGCCTGGAGGTAGAATGAAAAAGTTGTCAGTTTGCCATCTCGGTGGCTTTTGCATGAGAAAGCTCAGCACTGTCTCACCCAAGAGGCAGGTCGTTTGGATAGTGCGTCTGTCCTGACAGTCAGACTTTCTCCCGCTCCTCGGCACGGGTGCTGCCAGTCCTGCCGGGTAATAACTGCAAACAGCTGCTCGGTGCTGGCCTCAGCGAGGTGTCCCTCCGAAGGTTTGGAAAATGTGGAGACTAAAAAAAGAGCAAAAGGAGGAAAAAAAAAAAGTCAGTCTTGAATACAGACTAGTTTTGATTTATCGCCTGTTGTATAAAATGTAACCTTTGTTTCCTATTTATAATGACCCTGTAATAACTGGACAGTCAACTTAAACTTTAATGATTTAAACATACTTGTAAACTGTCAAGTCAAAAGTTTGTGAGTGACTATAAACATATGTTGGTGAGCGCTATATGCTAATAAATTCATTATTATGTTGCCCCAGTGGGAAACATGGAGATGGCAGACTTTTTTATGATAGGTCTTTTATTGTTTGTCACATCTGCAACACATTAAGGATTTTGAAGGCAGATAATGTTTACAATAAGAGGAGGATTGAAAGCCTTCCAGCTCAGTGAAGAGCGCTTCCTGTTTGTCAATGGAGTAACCGTGGAACTGGCACCCTGTGCACGGAGCTCCAAAAATAGAGATGTGTACATACGCACGCATATATTTATGCCACACCAATGGCAAATCATGCCAGCGAATAAATTATAGTATTTTCCCCCAAATTGCGAGTCAGTGCAAATGTATTCCAGAATCTATGATACAAACATGTCCTCGCACTCTGCTGAGATCAGTCATCCTACACCACGTACCCAAAGCAAACAGAGCCTGGGGAAGCTGGCGCTTCACTGCTGCTCCAGACAGCCACCCGCTAATTAGCTCACCTCCGGCGTTCTCACTCAAGATGCCACTTATAACTGACAAGCCGGTTGCCAGGAAGCCTGAAAATAAAACATGGGTGCTGGAGACGCTCCTGTGCTGAATGGCTTTAGCAGGGGCTGTGGGAGAGGAGGTACAACCTTTTCAGGTGGTTTGCAACAGTGGTGGTGGATGTAGTGCCCTGGGCTGTTTGCAGGCTACTGGGGAGTTTGTTGGGATGAAAACAGTGCTTTTAGTGGCGGGAGCATCCTGAGCAGTCCAGCAGCTGGGGTCAGGGGAAAAGGGGAAGGTTTACCCTTCCAAAATATCTGTTAGGCAGTAACAAAAGTTGTCTTGGGAACAGATGGATTTGGCAGAATTAAGCAGAAATAGTTTATCCTGGGAAGGGAAGTTGGCCTCATCCCATGAGATGTATAAGGATAGATGTATGCAATAAAGATACATAAAGATGGCTTGGCAGTGTGTGTGTGTGTAAAACAGCTCCCCTGCCTGGCTGTTCATGCAGGTTGGATAACAGGGAGTGTTGCCTTTCTCATCTCCCTTGGTTATTTATAAGGGCAGAGAGAATTTGCAGCTTGAGCCCCATTGCTGGTGCGGTACTCAGAAAGCGCCTTGTTTCTGTACCCTGCTTTCTGCTGCAGCTTCTGCTGCCCAGCCAAGCTGGCTGTGTGTTTTTTTCAGCAGTCCACGCTGTACTGGGGTGCTGGATGAAAGTCAGGATCAGCACTATGTGTTCATTGCTTTTCCAGGTTCTGTAACTTTAATAGCTTCTGCCTTTTTAGCCACTGATGTGTACCTCTAGGCTGGGTCATCTCAGAAAGTCTTGTCAAATTTCTTTGGTTGCATTCCTCTCATTACCCTCATTTTCTCCCAGTTTTATTTCTGGACATCCTGGGAATCTGAGCTCCTTCCATCCCCATGCTGTGGCAGGGAACAGGAGATGCTGCTGCTGCTATGGCAGCTGAATTTCTTTTCCATGAAGAGCACCAAGCTGCTTGTTTATGGTCAGGGCAGGGGGTGTGGGTGCTGGACAGTTGCAGCTCTCGAGGCCAGGCAGGGTCAGTTTGTTTGCAGCCCTCGTGGTTTCTACAGCCCATTCCTGTGGGAAGGTTTCCTTTAGAAGTGGGTATTCATACTGGAAAATGGTTGTCCTCAGGCTTTTTGGCCACCTTTGCTGCTTGGCGGGTGTATCTGCATGTAACAGGACAGCGTGGTGGATGCACCAAGGGTGCTGTG